CTGCTTTCAGCCAAGATCCATCTAACATCAGCTACAATGTCCCTAGTACCACGACCCCTTCTAAACCCAGCCAGGATTTCTGGAAGTTCTCTGCTGATGTGCTGTTCCAGTAGTTTTTGGATAATCTTCAGTAGAATCTTGCTTGTATGTGAAATTAATGACATTGTTCTATAGTTGTCACACTCCGTTGGGTCACCCTTCTTTGAGATGGGAACAAATAAAGATCTCTTCCAGTCAGTTGGCCAAGTGTTCTATCTTGACTCAGTATAAGGGCAAAAAGTCTGTGTATCTCCCTGATTTCAAGCCCTACTACATTGCTTTGGTGATCAAGACAGTGCGGTACTAGCACAATGTCAAAAACACATAGATCAATAGCATAGAATTGAGAACCCATAAGTAAGCCCATCTACCTATATGGTCAACTGATTTTTCTAACAAGGAGATGAAATCAGTTAAGTGGGGAAATGACAGCCTTTTAAACAAATGGTGCTGGAAAAATTGGAAAACTATTTGCAGAAAACTCAAGCAAGGTCCATACCTCACTCCATACACAAAAACAAACTCAGTGTGGATCATGGACTTAGGACTAAAACCGTTGACTATAAACTTCATCAGAGAAAAGCTTGGAAGAAGTCTAGAAGCCCTAATCCACAAAAAGAAGACTCTTCCAAGCACCCTGGAAAATCTACAACGAGGAGAGTATAAAATAGATGAATGGGATCGTCTCTGAATCAAACCCCTATGCACATCCAAAAACTTCTCCAGCAGAATAAAAAGGAAAACCATAGGCTGGGAAAGAATATTTGGTAATGACATGTCAGATAAGGGACTTTTATTTAGAATTTATAAAATACTTGAACACCACAAGATAAACAACTCAATTGAAAAATGGCACAGGATAGGAACGGACACCTCAGCAAAGATGACATTCAGATGGCCAACAAACACATGAAGAAATGTGAAAAATCTCTAGCTTTAAGAGAGATGCAAATCAAAACAACTATGAGGCATCATCTCGCCCCACTAAGAATAGCAAAATTTAAC